CCAAAAAGGGAGTTTGTAAACAATTAGCAGTTGTATTTTTCCATGAACTCTACGTCAAAATCAGTGGTTCCTATTTCATAAGGAAAGGAACAAGTATCGCAAGAAAGAAAAGCTACAGAGACAGGACTTACTCTCAAGTCTGCCTGACTCCAAAGCCTGAGGTCTTTCCAGTTTTTTCCAACCTGCCCGTCTGGTCGGCTGTGCTGCGGACCGCATAAAGACCCCGTAATAATCAATTAATAATTAACTATCGGGACTGCTTTTTGCTCTAGTTACCATGGGAGCCCCACAAGTAGTACCAGACAACGTCCTGACTTCAAGGAGCTTTCATTCTTCTTGGAGAAAATACTTAAGTGAAAAAGATGAGGACTAATATACGCAAAGGCATAAAATTTGACCGCTACAGCCAGTGGTCTGACGGAAGTCTGAGATTACTGTGGCTTGGAGTGGCCAAGGAAGTCTTAATGGACGAGGGAGGCCTTAACTGAGAAAAAGGGCGGTTATTTTAATTCATTCATCGATTCGTCTAACAAACACACACAGCATATACGTGCCAGGCACCATTCCAGGTGTGCTGTCAAACAAAACGAACTCCTGAATGTGACTGCCGGAAAAGGAGTACAAATGAATGATCTTGGTTGGCAACTAGAAGTGTGGGAGGGTCTGGAATCAAGACTGCCTTAGTTCAAGGCCCAGCGCCGCAATCAGGAACTGCGGGCAAGCTCCGCGGACAGCAAATGTGTTGTCACCCACCCATTCACCTCAGCCCGCCGCATCCCCCTAGCTAGAGGTCTCTAGAGGGTAGAAATCGAACCACGTAACCCCCAGGATCGCTGGAGAAGCACGCCCGAGTGGCCGCCTATTGGGGAAGAGGACCCTGTCATCTAGGAGCGCCCGGGTGGGGCAGCAGTCGGCGTGAGCCGGGCAGAGACATGGATGCAGACAGAGCCTGCGTCTTCGAGCCAGTCTCCTCCGGGCCCAAGAAGGTCATGACACTGACCTCGGCACCCAACCCCAGCCATCCCGTTAGGAGTACCTGCGTCTCAAGCTAACCAAATTCCAAAGAGCAGCGCAGAGGAAGCACGTGGGGCGCAGGAACACGTGGGGCGCCGAACCACTCTCTAAAAGAGGCCGACGGAGACTGCCCCTAGCGGATGCCTGAAATCGGTTCTCAGAGCTCGCCTGGCTCCGCGACGTGCGCCGGCTTAGGTGCTGATAGGCTGTGCGTGCCCGAGCGCACAGGGCTGCAGCGACGGCGAGCAAGGAGGGGACCTTACTCAACCCTGTCTCTGAGTGATGACGTCAAAGGCCCGGGAGGCGGAGCTGCAGCCTAAATCGCACGCAAAGCTGTTTAATCTCTGCCTGCGGTGGCTACGGTGCAGCACGTGATTTCTCTTTTCCTGTTGAAATATACCACCAAGGACAAAATAAGCATATGGATGTCCGCACCCGCAGTCCCTGCCACTGTGGATATAGTTCGGGTGCCCAGATGGGTCCGGGCCGCACGTGATTACAACGTCCGGGGTTTTCAATGCTAGCCTTGTTATGCGAGACTTCTGGTTTCAGAGTTGTGTAATTTTACCGATCCTATTTAAATAACACACTATTTTAATATTACAGACATTTCATTCCTCTCACTTGATCCTCCTCCATGTCGATGACCTTGTAGTCCGGAATCCTGTAGGTTTTCTACCCATTGCGCCTGCTGTACTCCGCAGATTCCTTTTAGCTCTATATCTGGCCGTCAAATACTGGCGCTCTTCATAACCCACCTCCGGGGCTGTTCTTGTTCAATTACTGCCCACATCTAGCAACCACTGCTGGCCTAAGCACATGACTACAGGGCCACTAATACATGTTTACAGTTTTTGGACCAGATCGTTGAATTTTAACAAATTCAACCCCTTGCTTGACATTTCTTCTCAGACACCTCAAATTCATGTCTGAACCCGAACTCATTTCTCTTGCTTCCCCAATTTAAGGCACTTCCAAATCTAATGTAATAGCCCGCACCACCACCCATCCACTCCAACATTCCTCATCAAATCTTTTCACTCAAGATTTCAATATGCCAGACACAAGGGATAGTAACCACAAACGTTCCCATCCCTTGTGAAGCTTACATAATTCTAGGTAAGCTTTAAGTATCCAGTGAGTAAAAAGTGACTACACTGCTTTAGGGTGAGCATGAAGTAAACAAAAACCTCAACTTAGAATGAGCTTTAAGAAGGAGTGAAAAGTCTTCCCGTGCTGAAAACACACGATTCCCAAAATGGGGAAAATCTTCGCAGCCAGTGACCAGAGAACAGTGGGAAATAAGGACAGTGGAAAATGGTAGAAAACCAGGACATATAATGAAGGGCTCGTGCACCACAGATTTAGAATTTACCTCTAGGTGTGATGGGAAACCACCGCAGTTTGGGAAAGTGAAGTGACAAAATCTTATTTGCCCTCTAAAAATGCTCATTCTGGCCACTGTGCAAAAATTGTACTACAGAAGAGCAACGATAGAAGGGAGAACCACTTACAAGCTACTATAGTTAACTGTCCAAAGCTGGTAATGGTGATGGTCACAAGTGCTGGATGACTTGGATACATTTGCAAGGTAAAAGCAGATGTCTTTGCTTAAAGCCTAGATACAGGGTATGGATGGATATCCAAGACAATGTCCAAAGTGTATTTGCCCTAAGCAACTGGATAAATGTAGGCTAATCAAGAGGTCAATTTGGAATACACACATTCAAATAGAGATACTAAACATGAATTGTTTCAGAGTTTGGGACCTAGAAATATTTAGGACTTACTTAAAACACTAATTGCATCGTAATCATGGGATTAGATGAGGCCACCTAAGGAAGAATATCAGCTAGAGACAAAGTCTGATAACCAAGGCCTGGAGAACTCCACAAAGTACACAGATAATACATACATAGAAATCCACTCACCACCCTCCTCCACTTTGTGTTCATTTCATACATGGGCTACTTCCAATAGCCACCTCTTGTATATTTTGCTCTTGACATTGCAATGAGCAGTTTTTATATGGCATTTATTAGGTGACCGACCATTCTCCCTCCCACCCCTTATACACGTGGAGTAAAAAATCGTCCCAAGTTCCCAGCTGTTCTTGAGACAAAACTTAACATGGCTTATTAACTACAAAGCCATTCATGGGAGCTGTTACCTTTCAACCTCACTCTACTCAATCTGTACTCTTTTCCCTTGAGACAGATAGCCTTCTCAGTCACTGGAGATTGGACATGCTTTTCTCCCCTTTGTCTCATTTATAACTCCTCATTCTCCAAATCTTAGTTCAATTATCCCTTTCAACGAAGTCTTTATCATTTTGACTAGGTCATATCATATCCTATCAGTCAATGCCTTGAAATCTATCATCATACATGTTGCTCCATCATGGATTTGCTACACTTTAATGCCACCACATCAGTATCCTTAACGAGACTGTTCAGTGAAAGCAGAATCACATGATTTTGTCACCTATTAATAATGTGCCTAGCATGATGCCTGGCAAAGGCTACCCAAATTTTCTGAAGATTTAGTTCACTGCCTTACAGTGGTGCTCCCTAATATAAATACAGGACTTAAAGAAAACTAGTACTTACAAATACAGCACTAAAAGTTACTGTAATAGGTTAGATGCTTTCACTACCTAAACTCAAAGAGCCAGTCTTCTGCATGGAACTAGATTAGGCTTCAGAACAGCTGTTAAAGTTTTTTTAAAACCAGTTGGAATTAATAGTCCACCCTCCTTAGAAATCAAGGCTACCAAAGACATTTCTTTAGGCTTTTTCCTCTCCTAAGTATAAGTAGCACATCTTCTTTACTTAGAGCTTTGCTGGATGGTACATACAACTAAAGCAAACTTCACTCAAGGACATAAGGAATCAGATTTTAATATGATTTACCTAATGTAATTTAAAACATTCGCTAGTCTTTTCCAGTATTTTTGTAGAATTCAAAATTGGAAAAGGTATAGAAATGAGCCTTCATTGTGCTCAAGGTTTTCCTTTCCCATTACCTCTTTAGAAGAGATAAATTCAAGGACAATACCAATTCTTTTCAATATAACTTAGTCAACAAAACTTAGGAGCCCTTAACAATTCAAGTGAGTTGGGAATTCGGGAGCTTAGAGATTAAATTAGAGGTTTGCAGTCAGCACTTACCTGTATCCCATTCCCCCTAATTAGATGTATTATTGAAAATAAAATGAACAATACAAATTTCCTAAGACACTTAAAAGGCTGACTACTCAACTACTTTCTACATTGTATGAATTGGTTGCCAACAGAGCACCTCAGTTAATGAGCTTTCTGATAATAAACACACATTCTCATGTCTCCTATAAGTGGAAAAGTCTCCCATGTTGCCTATATAGGAGACAAAACTACTACAGAAGCTAACTGATTAAAAATATTTAAAGATATTTTAGTATCAAGATACAATGATCAGGAAAAACTCTTCTATATTCTTTAGGGATATTAGTATCTGAAAATAAAACTGCCCTAACCTAGGTAATCTATGGCATTCTACCTTAAAGCCTTAAAACAGAAGTCTCATTATACATGTGAGATGACTGATACTGTGCATTTACAGAAGTTCTTTGTGTGTGGAGTCTTGCTATGCCAAGAAGCTACAGTGACATGTGTGACAATCATTTCCTTGCAACTCTGTTAAAATACGCATTTGACCAAACAAAAGGCCTTCTGCACATAGGACAAGTATATTATACAGAACACTTGGACCAAGATTCAGATCTTAATGGAACTTTTTAAAAAGTTCTCTGCCTCATAATGAGGCATCACTTTAAAAAATATAGTCTGAATTGAGGCATAAAAGTTTTACATTTAGACTGCAATTGTAGAATGCCAAAAATAATATATAGTACTTCAAAAAGAAACAATCCTTTAGAAACATACACAGAAATAATCAAACACCTTTGCACATTCACAACACCTGCACTAATGCATAGAATTTTGAAACCTAGAAAACATTTTTCCCCATCCCATCTCTGAACTGATTCATAGAAATCACTGTATAAAGAACTTATCTAGTTCTATTTTGATTGTAAATGTCCTGAATTTTCTACAGATAGTAAATTTAGCTTTATAGAGATGACTGCACACATACATCTAGGGATTACCCAATAAACCACGAATACTTATCTAATCCTTCTAGAGTACACCTAACATATGGTTGTGGTACATCCCAGGCAGATGCCATTTAAAGCACACAAGGGGAGGTGCTAACAAAAACTCATTTGCAAATGTAAACAGATAACCCTCCAATATGATGTACCACAACCACACATAAGAAAAGTCAAGAACTTACTTTATTTTAAAATAAACATTGAAGATCCCCTCCTTCCCCACCACCCTACAAAACTTTTGAATGTGGAATGTTCAACAGCCTATCCATTTTAGTAGGTTATGAAACCAGTGAAAACTCCAGTTGTCTAATGATGAATGTTCGAGGATAGTTTCGTGGGTTTTTTTTTAAGTAGCTGAGCACCTACTGCAAACATTCCTTCACTAAAGGCTGAAAACAAAATTTAATTTCTGCACAGAAAAGACCATTAACTTAGCCTTTGCTTACTACGTGGGCTTAGTTCTCCATGAAGTCAAAGTGGGATACAACAAGCAGCATTAAGTTCATAGGCACACAGAACTAGAGCTCAAACTGCTAGCACATATTCCAACTTAGTATATAAATTACTAAACTGTCAATCTCCATCAAATTTGTGACTCTCCTTATGCATCTAAGAGAAGGAATCACCACTTTGAGTATAAATACCTCCATGAGAAAAGGATTTTCAATTAGGGTTAGACAAAAGGTAAGTGCAAGTACTATAGAAATAGCTGCTGGAAATGTCCATAAAATTTCTAACACTAACAATGCATGGGTGAATCACATAAGCTGCTAGCTGTTGAACACCAGTGTTTCAAGATACAACTTTTATAAACACGTTTTATTTGTTTTGCTTATATCATGAGAACTGAAACTATTGACTGTCATTTCCCTAAAATAGGGAAATCAATCTAAAACCCATACTGGTGCTTTTCAAAAGATAGCAATTTAAGAGGGTGGTAGCAGCAGGCATTTGATCTCTCTTAAAAACCTTCAGGCTGCAGGAAAACATGTGACCAAGAATGTTATGATTATCCATTATAGATTTTTATCAGTACCTGTACCAATTTAGGTGACAATACAGCAAGATCCAAGGATTAGTGGTAAGCAATGAGCATCATAAGGAATGATATATAGTACCAATCCTTACAAAAGCCATTGTCAAAGAAAATGTTACGTGTTCAAAAAGGTATCTAAATACTTCACATTAATTACAGAAGTGGCCATCCAGATTACATCTCATATTTGTTGCATATTTTTCAAAAAGTGCCAATCAAAGCCTAATTTTGCATTTTGGCTTTGTCTTACACATATCAGCTATTAGGAAGCAAGTTACATGTTTTTAACCAGTCCTTTGGCCAGAGGATGAATAGTGCTGTGTCAAAGTTGGTTGCCAACCTTGTATGTGTGATTAAGGGCCCATGCGTAATTTGGTATGCATCTAAACATTCAGTGCTCCAATTTAACTGGAAAAGCTGTGAAATGCAGTTTTTCTGCCATACCACACTCCTTCCATCTTCCTTTCAAGGGAAATATTTTTTTGTCAATTACCATGGAATATATTGCTTGGGCTGATTTGCAGATTTTTATCCAATGTCAAAAGTCAATCTTGCTTTTTCCAAGCCACTTCGATTAACTATGGAGATATTATCACCCTGTAAAGAATATTATGTTTTACTCCTAAGCAAGGGTGAGGAATCTGAGTATCATGTGCAAGGCTCAAGATGACGCTTAGGACAGACATGCAGAGTAAAAATAGTTTCCTTCCATATCCAGGTAATATAAAGCTGACAATTGTAGTCCTGTCTTTATGGGATGAAAACAGTCCCTTTACAATAAGTTTCCTGAAAGGGAGAACAAATAGGTAATAACTCTTCTGGTAACATTATGGTACACTGGCCAGTGTGTTTTTGGCGATTAAACATAATCCTGTGAATCAGATTAATTCACTTGCTGAGTGTTCATTTGCGGCATCCCTCTGTTGGGTCTTGGAGGCCCTCCACGACCTAGAAGACAAAAATGGCATTTGGTTTTTCTTTCAAATACTATTTGTTTTGCCTTCAAGCAGATTTTCATCTGAAGTCAAGAAGCATGTGGGCAGCTTGTCACCACATTATTAGGTTTAAGAGGTCAATTCTTCAGTGTTCAAGTTTCACCTGTCCTGGAAGTTGTCATGCGCAAATTTGCTCATGTTCTCTAGCTAAAGGAAGAGTGGAGCTAATGGAGTATTCCACCAGTACTCATTCATTCATTCATTCAACAAGTATTTATTGAGTGCCTACTATGTGCCAGGCACTGTCATCAGGCGTTGGAAATAGATACAGTAGTAAAGACAGACAAGGTACCTGCTCTCATGGAGCTTACATTCTAGTGTACACTCTAGCTTACATTTCAGTAGCAACATCATACTATTGAAATTAATAAAAGCACCAGAATGAAAAACAGACCTTATTACCTAAACTGTTAAAAAGAAACTACATAACATTGAAAATTATATAATGACTTGTAACAGATAAAATAACTTTTTACATGCTGTTAAAACAGATTTTTAGCTACCAGTCAACTCAACTTTCGTAGAATATGCTACAAGGTGAAAAAGAACATAACCCACATTCACATGCAAATATCCTTAAGATACTTCAAGTCAATAATTTCCCAGTGATCCATTAATTTTTTAAAAGTGCACCTTTTTGTTGGCCAGTTTCTACTAGCACTAAAATCAAAGTACTTTGTAATTCCTCCTTAATATACATTTTATACACGTGACGGCCAATATCTAGAGGAAACCTATTCAATTTACTTCCTTCAAATAAGAGAACCATTTAGAACTTCAGATCATATGAAATGCTACTTCTAATTGTTACATAGGCTGACTTCCTGCCCAAATAGTATGAAGTGGTTTTTCTACAACAGACAAAACCAAAAACTCTTAAAACCTATCATTTTTAAGTATAATTCAATTAGTTAGGAATTTGGAGATTTTGTTTAAAAGTCAGAAATAACTGGGTATTTATATAGTAGTGCTCCAAAAGGCATTGAAATTTCAATTAGTTCTATGATTTCTAAATGGTTCTCTAAATGTAACTATGGCTTATCTGGCCATTAAAGGGTCTCTGGCCCTACAATAATATGCATGTTTCAAAAATAAAAGAGGAATAATAAATTTATATAAATGTTCAATCTCATTCCAAAAATGTCTTACAAAAATGTTTCAATAAGTACTTCCTAAAAACATTTAGCAGGTTTTAGGACCTGAAAAATAATTTGCAGTTGGAAAAACATTTTTTTGTGAGGAGGAGAAATGTTCTAGTTTTCAAGACAGTGTAGAGTAACAGGGAAAGCATTCAAAAAATTAAATTTGGTTTCAAGATAAATTTTAGAAACAGAGCATTTCATTTAACCTCTAAAAACAAGTCTGGAAATGATAACTGTATTCCTAACATGTAACCTACATGCAGATTATGAACAGCTCTTCCAAGGCCAGAATAGAAGCTCCACTTGGGAGCTAGGATCACCACCACAAAATATTACCTCGTGGGGCTCCCCGTGGTCCACTCTGCCCAGAGCCTCGCTTGAAATTCTGCTGATATCCATCCTAGAAGACAAGCTAGTTAGTAATGAAGAGAAGGTAATTTTTTGATCCTTAGCTATCTATATTCTTAGTCTAATACTTGCATAATATAGAATTCTTCTTTTAGACATTTTTTATCATAACTATTACTCTGTAATTGTTGTACTCCTATTATTCTCAAGAACATTCAATGAGATATGTTTCTCTGCTCTTAAAAAGCACTGTTTTTAACTCTATATTAACTGAGTACCTATACTGACTGCCAATAAAAGCAAGTCATCATTATCATTCTTCGTAATGAAATATCTTGTACAAAAGTATAAATAAAATCAGCCCCAAATTACTTAATCAAGTCCATCAAGAAACTACATCAATTCCTTTCATTGGTACATTTCCATCAGGTTTATATTTTAAAACAACTTTACATACCCGCTGATAGCCAGAATAGTCCCGGGGAGCACTGAACTGAGACTGTGTGTAACCACTGTTTGGAGTGTTAGAGAATGAAGGGCGGTAACCATCGTATCCTCCTAAAATTTAGGAGAAGAAAATAATTTTATGTTCGCAAGGAATTTTTACTTTCTTACTACTGACCAAGAAAAGAACCTGAAAAATTATAAGCCATGCTTAGTTATTCAAACTAATTTCAAATTCTCTATCCTGACCCAATCTGTATATTTCTGTGAGCATTAACTGCCTTAGAAAATGAAACTTGCGATCACCCATCCATGAACACACACACACACACACACACACACACCCCCCCCACACACACACACCCCAACAACAGCAGCAGCAAAAAATCTCCATAAGGTCTGATAATGTACAAAAAGCAATTATCCCTTAAAGGACAGTGGTAGACATAGATTTGACATTTACAAAAAAATTAACTCTCAATTTATATTACTGTATCCAAATATACTAAAAATGTTTAAATTATATATGAGGCTAATACAGAGGGATACATATCTTTCCCCAAAACCATGACATATTTCTATATATTTTACAAATCAAAAAAGGACATGAACTTGGTGGTGTTTGTTTTTACCTCTGAATCCATTGGCAGGGCCCCGGTATCCATTCATCAAGCCTCTAGCACCACGAGAGCCTCCACGAGACACACCACGACTGCTGTAATAGGGCTGACTGCTCCGAGGAAATCCAGTGTTCTGCTGTGGAGGCTGCTGGTGGTTACCAGTCACTTGATGGGGTTGGTCCTGGGAACCATGGTAAGTGCCAACCACTATAATAAAGAGAGAAAAAATAATAATACACACACACTACACATAGCTCATTACAATTTGTTTTCCCACGTGCTTTCTGGTTTAAGGAATGTCTTATACAATCTCTTCAAAGTTCCATTCTGTGTTTAAATAAATTTTCCTATTAACAATAGGGGAAACTACACATTAGTAAATCCCTGCCTTTCTCCTACCCATATTTTAAACTAAGTGGGATAAAATTCTCCAACAATTCTAAATACCTGAGAGCACACAATTATATCCTTCCAAATGACTGAAAGGCTGTATTATTTATTAAACATCTTCAAGAGACACCTACCTCTTAGCACAAGAGACCAAAACAATTCAAAAGATCTTACATACTGAAACAGTACAATTACCAGTTTATAACAATTACTTATTTTCATTATAAGGCTCCTTAAGTAGTTGAAGCTTTCTTATTCTTTTAAATCTCCCTCAATACTTAGAGAACAAATAAAACCATGTTCCTATAACTAAGTAGCTGTATGGTAGACTATTTAGTCGATTACAAAGATAAACCACAGAAGCCTTCAACTTATACCCCCCTTAATTCTTGATTCATTTTAAGTCCTCTTGGGCAGAGCCAATTTTGAAGACAGTTACATGGTATTCACACTAGCATGCAGCCAGCTAAAGTGTTAAGGAAGGTCCTACAAAGCCCACTATTTGACACCCCACCCTTCTCCCTTCCACAACTGGGAATCTAGAAACCTTCAAAAATTAAATACCGAGGTGAGATACATGTGTGGTATTAAGCCAGTGTTCATAATTCAGAGGGCACAGGGGCAAAAAACAGGGTGCTATCACTACCTTTGGGAGATTAAGGAAGGTACAGACCACAGGAAGGCCTACATTCCAGGAACAAAAACAGCAGCCTCTAGTCAGCCCCAATCTCCCATGCTTAGGCAGAGAAAATGTGGTGTGACTCTTGAAAATCCTCACCTGACCTATTTTATATCAAGAAACCCAAAATACATTTATGTTCCCAGAATGCTATTTTGCAATAAAAAAGCTAGAGAATGCCTAGGAGGAGAAAGGGTCATGACTCCTTTTTCAATTATGTAATGAACCAAATAGACTATTCATATTGTGAACTTTCTACACAGATTACCTTGTACTACATTCCCAAAATTAAAAACTGTAAGCAAATATCAGGAGTATAGTTAACATTTTCTATCTAAGAAGATTCATTTGTATGCATGTAGAAAATAGTCAACAGAACTGATTTTGACTCACTTTTTATCTATAAGAATTTTATTAATCTTGGTCAAATCTCAGTTCAAGAAACTCAAAGCAAAACAACTGAAGTATGATCTTCATTTAAAAATACCAGAATTCCTTTTAAGTGTTTGTAGAGTATAAACTCTAATCCATAAAAAAAATTGCCAAAGATTCCTGTCACATCCTTTTTTCCTTTTTTAATTCAAATTAAAACAAAACTTCTAAAATTATGGGACACACTGATTTGTTCAACACATATATCAACATGCCAAGCATGTCCTAGACATCAGGGATGTATCAGTTACCAACACACAATGCTTGCCCAGGTGGACATTTTAATTATGGGAGATAATAAGTGAATAAAATACACATACAAGTGAAAACATCTGCATTGTATCAGGTAATAAGTGATGAGGAATGCACCAAAGTAGGAGAAATGAGTGACCAGAGCGAGTGTGATACATTTAGACAGGATGATGGAGGCCTGTTAGGGATATTTGAGCACAAACCTAAAAGAAGTCAAGAAACAAAGCCATATAAACACTAATGGAAGAAAGTTTCAGACAAAGATAACGTGTAGAGGCTATGAGTGGGCAGAAAACTTGCTGTGTTTGTGTCTGGTATGGGTATATAAGGAAGAAAATAGGATATACAATAGGATCAAGGCAGGGACCAGATCATAAAAGATCTTGTAAACCAAGGTAAAGACTTTGGATTTCTTTTCAAATAAAACAGGAAGTCACTGGAAGGTTTTAAAAAGAGTGAGACATCTGACTTACATTTTGAAATAATCACTATGGCTACTGTGTGAAGAACAGACTTGGCTAAAACAATAGTCAAAGGAGACAACAGCAACAGTCCAAATAAGAGATGATGACTGCCTAGATTAGAGTGGTAGTGTGAAATAAGCAAAGTGTATATGGGCTGATTTGTTTTGTTTTTGAAAATGTCAGTGAATGTTATGCAGTTAATTTTTATAAACAATGTATATTTTTAAATGGTAACAAAAGGTTATCTATCTAGCTCAAGTTCTGATAGTTAATTAGTAAAGTCAAGGTTCTCATATAGGAGCAAGACACTTTGAAATCAATTGGTACAAAGTGCAAAATTAACCAAGCCAAATTATGCATAGTAATTACTTTTAATTTCATCACATCATCTAAAAAAAACTGGCAAAATAGCACACATGTCAGTACAATGTTTTTAAAGAAATTTACTTGTTCCACAACTGACTCGTAAGTACATGACAAAGAAATTAAAGGAGCCCAAGAGCAAGAAGCCCAGTTATCATTCAGAAGCTGAGCACACACAGCATTAACTGACAAATTTCTATTGGATTACAGTGATCTAACCTCCCTGCTGATTAGTAATATTGAATACTACAGGGATATGTAAGAATTTAGTACTGAGAAATCTTTAACATTGATCCAGGATTATCAAGAAAATTTCGGTTACTTAAATCAGTCTGGCCCTGGCTCAGTTGGTTGGGCATCATCCTGCAAAGCAAGAGGTCGCCAGTTCAATTCCCGATTAGGGCAACATGCCTGGGTGCTGGACTGGTCCCCCAGCTGGGGCCCATGCGAAAGGCAACCAATGTTTCTCTCACGCATCGATGTTCCTCTTCTGCTTTCTCCCTCCCTTCCCCTCTCTCTAAAAAGAATAAGTAAAACCTCTTTTAAAAAATCAGTCTGGTAAAATCAAAGGACTACTTCCTATGACTTTTTAGCAGGGTTGTTATTTTGGTGTGGGACTCCAATTAAACTCCTAGGAATTAAATAACCAAAAACCTAAAGAAGATATTTCATGTGTTATGAATTTAAAAAATCTAAAATATCCTTTATCTACTTTATTACTGTGACAGGTACGATACCTGGCCAAATTACGACCATACTCTCCAACAAGGACTTTTGGTTCAACCTAGTTCACCAAATGCAGCCACACCAACTCCTTACTCCTTCCTAACTTTGTATAACTGAGTGCCAAGTATCATGCCAGCAGGGTTCAGTAAATTAGCAATTTATTGAAAGCAAAACTGATCATAATTTGAATAACAAGTTTAATTCCACTAAATATAAAAAAGGTTATTATAAAAGCTCACTGACCAAAGGAAAATAGGTATAAGGCCTCTAAAAACTGCACATAATTCACATACAGTAAATAGGAATCAGCAATGCAAAATCTGTAAAGTCTAAAACTGAAACAAAACTCTCAGATACAGCCACTCTAAAGTGTAAACTGTCCTAACACTATCAATAAACTACATTAGTAAGCAAGTAGCCAAGGAACTGATACTGATTATCCTACCTGTTTGAAGCTGTTCTTGCTGAAGCTCTGCTTGTTCTACTTGGTGAGGCTGACTGGAAAAGCTCTGGTTATAACTGGCCTGGTACTGATTCTGCTGTTTTAAAGTTTCTGGTTCATTAACAGGAGGAACCGGGGCATTCATATTGAACACCTGTAAGTAAATAAATGATTAGTTCATCGTGTTATGCAAGTAATTTCCCTACTTTTCACATGGCAGACTTCAATGCTGGTTTTACCTCAAATGTACAACAAAGCCTTACAGAAGTCTCAAACATCACACACACACACACACACACACACACACACACACACAAACTTCCTCAAATAATGCACTTCAATGTGAGAAAAGAACACATTAAAAGCAAAGTATAAGTGGGGACTAAAAAATCTAAAGACACCTAATCAGCAGTCTTGAAAATGCTATTATAAATGAAAAATCCTTATAGAAGATGCAAAACCCTGATATGATATTACTCACAGAAATGAATTATATCAGCTTGAACTCGAGTTCAATATTTACTTCAATTATTTTACTTTTACTGATTTTTTTAACTCAAGAGTTCTTAAGTATTTAACTGTATGAACTTTCTTGTGAGCACTGATTTAACTGTATCTTACTGATTACAGTATTTCCATTATCATCATTTTCCAGAAACTTTGAAATTTAGAGATGCTTCAGGAGGAAGCAGGGTGAAGTATCATGTCTGAAATTTACCTTGAGATATACTTCAGTGAAGTAAAAAATTAGCAAATATAGCAAAATGTAAACAACTGTTAAATCTAAGTAAGTTTTGTATGTGGCTATTGGTCTACTTTTCTGCATGTTGAAAAGAGTTCAACTATAAAACAAGATGTGAGCACATAACTCTTCTAAGACTCAAATATACCTCTGAAAGCAGGAAAATCAGAATTCAGGTTCATTTAAATATATCTCCCAGTTAGGGCAGATGCAGACTCAAGCACAAAGTTAAACGAAGACTTTTCATTGAAACTCTAGCATGGTAATAGTGGATTCTAGACACTTAATGTTAGTTGAATTAATTTGCCTACCGTTTGCATGGATTGGAATGGAGCCGCATTTACATTGATTCCACTGCTATGTAAAGGTTTGCTTGTTCCAGCCTGGAACACTTGGGGCTGAGAAGCAGCAGGAAGGGATGATGACGCCGTAGCCTGGTCTGTATTTAAAGAGATTGTTGCCTAAACACAAAGTAAATAGATGCACTTTAGTGATAAACTAAACTTAGCCAAAGCTACTACCCATATTTGTATTAACAAACTCAGCTATTTCATGAAATAAATATACTACAGTGCATGCATTAGATCCAAAAAAGAAGAGTCACTAAATTAACAGTAATTTACCTCTGCCCAATTCATGAATAAGCAAGCGCCTCATCAAGTTGATATGACCTGGTAACAGAACTTGCCTGAATCTGGTCAATTGGTTCCTTTTGTGGTCGTTGCTCTGTAGCATGAGACGGCTGGTACAAGGGTTGAGATGCTGTATACCCCTCACTTGTGGATGAAACCAAAGGAACCTACACAGAAGTAAAGAAATCAAAGGTTCTCTCTGTTATAAACAAACTCTTAATATATACAGAGCTAAAATATATATATATACACACATATATGTATCTGTTAAAGAGACTATAAAAACCTAACAACTACAAAACATACATTATTGAAGCTCGAAGTTACATAAACCTTAGTCTAGTTATGAAGTTCCCCACCAATGCCTCTAAAATAGTAATAGCTGCACTAAATTTTAGAATTATGTATCTAAAAGCTTCTTCCTTTGTTATGATAAACTATTATAAAACATAAGAATTTAAAAAAATTTAATCACAAGAAAAATATAAACATGGAAATAAAGCTACACATGCTAGATTTGGACATGGATCAAATTTGTATCTGACTTTCATAAGCTGACTAAGAAAGTAACCCAAGAACTAAAAACAAATCTACAAAAGTATTTATATTGCTCTTACCTGTGTAGCTTCTGGTTGTACAGCAACTTGATTAGGTTGAGCAAGTCTAGATTCAGAATGAACTGCAAAATTGACCAAAAAAATATTGTTCTACAAAATCAAATTTCTATAGCTAAATCCTAAATAAACTTTAGCAATTATGAAAATACACTGGGTAGGACAGGTAAGATTTTAACTCTTGAATGAGCTTTGTCTTTACTAGTAATCATTCATTATTAATCAACACTCACAGTGGCTTGAATTTTGCATTTTACAAAGATAAAGTAAGATGTTAATGATAAAGTGCTAACAAAGAGGTAAAGAGCAAAACAAATAAGAATGATGCCAGTGTTATCCATGAAAAAGCCTTTTAAAGCAGCAACTAAAGTAGCATTACTCTTACTCAAGACCTTAGATAATATTCAGTGAAATAACATTATCAAGTTTCAGTATTTCAGATGTCTCCAGGAAAAAAAAAAAGTAAATATACTTTTAAAAAGCCTTTATTCAATTCTGTGTGCATATTATTGCCAATTCTCACCATCCTTCCACTCCCCTCCCAACCATGGTTAAGTAGATAATCAAAAATACAGTATCTTTGACTAGCCATTTAGAATTGCCCGTTTTCACTGAAGAGTCTAAGGGACTCAGCAGTTACCAGAATAACATCAGTGCTGCTGCATGTGTCAACTTTAGCACAACTTACCAGCTAAGAAAACTACATATTTTCTTCCTCTGGTAGCGCTCAGAAAATGAACACTAATTAAACTCTGATTCCTTTCCAGAAGGCCTAACCGTGATGTTTTCTAACTCTTGGTAGAAATGTGACAAAGATGAGTTCACTTTACTTTGGGAAAATCATTAACTACCGTACCAGATAAATATGCTTTTACTCAGCAACTCCTTTTATGACATTTAAAATTATACACTAAATATGTTACTTTACATAGTTCCACCTTTGTGCCATTAATGCCTACATATTGGGTTGGCCAAAAAATCCATTTAGTTTTTTCCATATGATGGCTCTAGTAGTACTCAGTTGTCTTTAACTTCACTTGGGACAATTCTGTTAGGTTGTATTATGACAGCTGTCATATCAGCACGCATTTTTTTTAACAAAAAGTCAAAACTGGTGAATTTTTGTGCACCCATTTTAATATTGAAGATGGAAGAGATACAACATTTTTGGCACATTATGCTTTATTATTTAAAGAAAGGTAAAAACACAACTGTAAAGCAAAAAGATTTGTGCAGTGTATGGAGAAGGTGTTGTGACTAATTGCACATGTCAAAGTGGTCTGCAAAGTTTCTTGGTATATTGATATTCTGGCCAAATAATTCTTTGCTGTGGGGCTGTCTTCTGCATTAGAAGACGTTGAGCAGCACCCCTGGCCTCTACCCACTAAAAGCCAATAGCAGGAGAGAGCTGACATATTCAGAATATCCAAATCAATAAAGTTATTCATGAAACTGAAAAAAGTATCTCTTATTTTACAGAAAAATCCATACAGACTTTTTGGCCAACCCAATATTTTGGGGGGAAAACAAGACTCAAAATTACTAATGATCCATTTAACCCAATACAATGCATCAACTCTAATTAGTGCTGCTTTCAAATAATGGTATAAGACTAGAAAGTCTGGAACTTCCATTGTCTTCTTATCTACCTCTTCCTCTTTCCCCCTAAGCATTCCCTTACTCACTTCACTGTTAAATCTCCTAAAAAATTACTAGCATCCTTCAGAGAAAGACACCTCTATTACTTTTATTCATAGATTCTGACATTTAAAAAGTCAAGTAAAATTTCATTTATATAAATTACAGAAACAGGAAAAACCAGTCCAGTTTTACAAGTCAGGAAGTAATTACCATGGGGCTGAAGGAGAGGGTAATTACTGACCAGAAAGGAACAAAAATAGGCTTCTAGGTTGATAATGTTCCGTTTCTGGGTGCTGATGTGTTCAGTTTGTGAAAACTTGTTGAAATGTACATTTGCATATACTTTTCTATGTCTATATGCCAAAATAATTACAAAAAAAGTATGGAGCTACAGTTATTCATATTATAGGAAAAAACAATGCTTCTTATCAAATTAAAAAGGTAGAAGAACTAAAAGGTAAACAAGCATTAAAAAGAAAAAAATTTCATTTTTATAAACTTTAAAAAACCTAAAATCATTGGTCCTATATCTACTTCTCACATAAAAATATACCATTACTAACCTGGAGGGCAAACCAGCTGGGGCATGTCTATGTTTTGTGCTGGATTCATAGGCTGTGCAGATACAATGGCAGGATCAAGAGTCTGGTTTTCAAAATCCAGCATTGAATCCTACCAGTTAGAATACAATGGAATTAAGTTAAATAACATAAACACTTAACCCTTCTGCTACAAAGTCTAATTAAACCGCACATACCTGTATGAAATTGTAAGGCCCCTGCATTTGTGCCATCAGGTCCTGTACTCGCTGTCTTCTCACAAGCGGATCTGCCTGAGCCACTGGTGTCAAAGAGTGGGGCTCCGGGACTGAAGGAGATGCAGCCTGAGGCTGCTGCTGGAGTGAATTTACCACCTAAATGAAGTGGGAGAAGGGCAGGGGAGTGGATTGGTAGAATGACAGAACTCCATTCATTACTATCATGACATGTCCCCAAGCTACACAGGCTATGTATACGGTATACACAATAGACTTCAACGTAGTTACTCAAACTGACCATATTATGCCAAGTTTAACATTCTGATTAATGCTATAATTCTGAAGTGTTAATCAAGTCCCCAGGACCACCATGCAGCATTTCAGAATTACTTTGTAAATTGCTTTCAGAGAAGGACTACCTATGTTTATTTCCTAAAGTAACATACTTTGCTTAAACTGTTAGGCCTTCTACATTATAAAGTAAATCTCTATCAAATACATGTCTATATCAGTACCCAATGTATAGTCAGCACTCAGGAAATATTAGCTATTATTAGCATCAAGCTTTGAGTTCCTACCATTCCATCCTCTCTGCCAAAACCCTAGGTCAACATCCATCACTTCATCTAAACTGCTACGAAAGCCAAAGCTCATTCTCTCTGCCTCTTTTTTCTAGCTCTTATAATTTCTCCAGATTATCATTTTTAATAATTCTCTGTTCTGCTGGAAAAACTAATTTGTATTACATCAAATTTACATCCTTCTGTTTGGCTTTTAAGCCTAGGCAAGTCATACCTGTTGAGCTTGAGCAAGTCAGAGCCATATTTCCTGTATAAGGAACATTGAGATAATAGAGCCTGGTAACCAAACAGGCTTGGGGTGAAGGAGGAGCCTAAGGTGACACTCTAATATATCCCCTGTGGGTTTTTTTTCCTGCAGGTTATCCGTGTGGGAACCCAGATTTTTAGAGACTAACCTGGTAACAAATCATATACTTTAATACATTAACCCTAATTTATACATGGTTATAGTTTTTTCAAATTAGATCAACATCAGTGCTTCTATTAAACACCCACAGGGATGAACAAAACACCTTTTAAACCTAACAGTCTTCTGTAACGAGTTTAATATAATAAATGTACTTATACAGAAGATTAATAGTCTTAATTTTTTCTTAGAAGACATAAAAACTACTAATTAAAGACAAAGGACATCAACCTTGTAATACAGAGAACTCTTACCTCAACTGTTTCAGCTGTCCACTCATCTACCTGCTCCTTTTCACCACTGTTGAACTGTGTTTCGGCCATAAATTGTCTATTTACATACTGCAAAACAAAATAAATGTTTGAGACCTCTGTCTGAAAGGCAAAAAGGGAAAGCCAGCATTAAATAAAAGTCATACCTCTGTTGATTCAACTTCACTTTGTTCAGTGTATTCTTCTGCTGGCTCAGGCTCTAAGAAGTTTAAAAAAAGATACAAAGGAGTTTAAGAAATCTTTTTTAAAGTTAACAATTCATTTGAATTCCAAATAAGTAAAGGGTTTAACATCACATACTCTGAATTTATTTACAAAGTTATAGTTAACAGTAAGTTTCCGTATTTTATCATTCTTGCAATAATACATTCAGAAAGAGTTTTATCATTATTCCAGAATAAGTAACTTTAGTTTCAACAGTTATTCGGGGTCAGGTATAATGCAAATTAAGAACTACTATGTTAAAATTGCTCTCTATTCTTCAAAGTAGTATTATAAAACAGCATACTGGTTACACTGGTGGCAAAGTAAAGTAAAACCAGTACCCTAAACTAAGGCTCATATCCACCTAAGTACTCACCAGCTTCAGCTACCTGGTCTTCAACAGTAGGTGCTGAGGCCGCCTCTTCCTCCTCACATAGCCCGTTCTGGTGGTTGTGAGTGCTGTCAAAGTAGTTTGACTGGAAAACACGCTCAACAATTTCCTTTAGAGCTTTATCTAAGTACAGAATATGAATTATAATGTTAGACTATCTGAGATACAAGTCAACACTCTAAAATATTGTAAGAAAAAAACCATCGACTGTTACTAAAACATGTAAGAACATGAAATTCCACCAAGAACAAAATTATAGTACAGAATAATAGGGAACAAAAGAATCTACTTGTTTTTAACTTTATCTTTCTGTATTTTAAGTAAATTCATTTAAAAAAAAGCTGACGACAATGTGGTAGGCACTGGGGCTACAAAATGGTATGTAAAAGATATATGGTATCTGCCCTTCCTAAGTTTACAATCCAATAGCAAAGAGTTGTCAAATACTCAAACAATAAAATTGCACCTGTGAAATGTACTACATAGAAACACAATGGATTGGACCTAATCAAGAAAAGGCTGCAAGAAGCTTTCCTGGTTAAGTGCTGAAAAACCTAAGACCTGGAAGATGAGTAGTAGAGAGAAGTGTTTCAAGGCAGAGGCAACAGCATTTAAAAGCCCTGAAGAGAGAAGGGTGCCAAATACAAGAAAATGAAAGTGTGCTGTGGCTGAAAGACAGGGAGTAAAAAAAAGCGTAAGGAAATTTGAGTCTGGAGAGACTGATAAGGGTCAGATGATCATGCAAGGTCTTGGAATTAAGGACAAAGTATGTAAAATGTAATTAAAATATTTGGGGGGTGGATTCAGTTAGAAGACCACATTAGACAAGAGAAAGGCAGAAAAGTAGAAGAGAAATAGCAGCAGACAGGTTCAATACATTTAAAAGGCAATTCATATTGTCAGAAGTTGTTTCGCTTGGATATAAGAAGGGCAGGACAGCAGGCAACGGTGTGTGTCAAGAATTAAAATCTTAATTTCCTGGCCTTATATAGCAAATGTACAGCAAGGCTATTCCCTAATAGGTCCCTCTACAGAAATTTAAAACTTCTATTATTATATCAACTATCATAAAATTAATCCTATTAATAAAATTATTAACTACTTACTGAACTGCGAACACTTCATATTTTCCTTTCCCTAAGCTTCAGAGATTCATGACTCAAAACTACTTGTTTTAAAAAAAATTAAATGCATGAAAGCTGAATGCATATAAAAACACTAATGTTTAATACATTAGTAGCTTTCCATTAGCTACAGATACAGATGTGACATTCCCAAGATGCAGGAACAAGACTAGGCAGAAAACAACACCAAGGCAAGCTACAAGATTAAGATGTACGCTCATGAAAATATTATCAGGAGTGGCCTAAAACTACTTTTGTAAGCTATTAAGTTTATGCACATATGTGAATTACTTTCCAAACTTCAAGTAGTGAATTTAGTGTATACTTCTAGCAGAATTAAAATCAAGAAGCCAAAAGATTTTTTACAAAGAAATAACAGACAACACAAGTTAACAAACCAAGAGAATTATTTCTTACAAGAAGACACCAAAGGATTGTTTCCTCATGATTCACACATGTCCTTACAGCAAATACACACCAAATTGTTTCTTACTGTTTTGTCAATTAAAATTTATAATCCAATTTATTTTCAACCAAATAACTAAAAACAAGCTATAAATACAGATTGTTTTACCCTGATGTGTTCAACAATCTACTTGGCTAAATCAACTTTATAGCCAATAGAAAAATCTATTACCTGATTTATTAAGGGACGAAAATCCTAAAATTCCTATTTTATTGAGTTAGTGAAACTTAAATGTCCTTAAAAAAAGAAAAAAATCAACATACAATCGCATTATTTCAGGTTAAGAACTGACATATAGCAAACTGAACTAGATACCAGAGCCTTTTTTAAAATACAAAAAAGAAGTCTAAGAAAAATTAAAGACAGACTAAGGGCCATGACCACATGAGGTACAGTAAATGTTTTTCACAAAATGTCAGCTCTAAGGAAAAACCAGTCACCAACTAATAATCACACACTGGCAAGTTAATTTGGTGTTAATATGTCCACCTCAATCAGAGTAAGTTACAGACAAAAACCATGTTAAGTAAGGACTTCCATCTTTATAGATTTTTGGTTGGCTGGTACTGGTGTTTTGACTACCGACAAGGAACAGGCACAAAAAATGCAAAAATAGATATAAAAATGAAATAAATAAGGAAGTAAAAAGTGGATGATATTTTTCCAGTTCTAAAATTTCTTCAATTAACATTATTCTTCTTAGGCAGGAAACTAATTTTTAAAGATTTTTAGTTATAAAAACACAAGGCGTCAGTGATACTCACAGGTTGTTCCACATACAGATTTTTCTTTGCCTTCCAACAAGTCCCACAGGTGAATGGAGGCATGTTCATACTGTTCATTCAACCTTAAAATAATAATTAAATAGTTAATTAATTACCTTTCAATTGTTAACTTAAAGCAACATTTATAAGTTTCTTTTATCAAATACCACTATACCTCAAGCTCATGTCCCGTTCAGGGTCTGCTAACTTGTAGAATTCATCCAACAATGACAATTCCTCTTCAGACAATATTGGCACACCATTCAAACCTTGTTTCAGGTCAGTTCGCACTTCCTCATCTCCCAATTTGTCCAAAACATACTGCAGCTCAAGTACAGTTTTCAAACGTTTTTGTTCAGCTTCTTCTCTCATAAGCTGCTCCCGTCGTGCCGTTTTCTTTATTGTTTTCTGAATCTGCAGAAGAATATAAACAGAAGACATCAAAATAAGTTTTAAAAACTCTTTTAGCTCAATCAATTTCTGACCCAATGTAAATAGGACATACTTATTCAATGAGTTAGATGTGACCCTAGTACACAAAAGGATGGTTCCCAGTTTACAAAGAGTTCCTTCGTGAGCCATTTTACTCAGCTGTTAGAAATTCAGAATACATCTTTCTCCAGAAGGTGGTATACTACTGAAATGTTACTAATGAAAGGATATATTTGGGATTTGTTTCAAAATAATCCAGCAGACAAGGAGCAGGGGAGTAGATGTGGTATACTCTATGAAATATGATTGCCCATTAGATGGTAAGTGTAGAAGATGGATAGATATGAGTATGTGTAGGTTCATTATATTCTTTAGTTTTGAAATTTCCCGTAATAAAAAGTATAAAAGTTAAAATTTTTAATTAAGGCTCTGAGTCAAATTAAAAATAAACCTAACCACCACAGCAAAAAATATTAACTATATCCTCTCTACGGAAAAATGATCCAAAGTTCTAAGTACCTATTCTGATTTCACAAAGAAATGCCAAAATCCACCACGGTTACCTCAACCCAAACAATTACTGCTAGTATTATAATGGCATTCCAAGATACTGAAATAGTGACTAAAACTGACTTGTTTTTGTGAATATGGGCATACTAGCAGAGAAAAAGAAGGTGGCAGTAAAAGCAGATAAAAGTATGAGTGCATTTTCTCCACTATTTTTTACTCTCCACTACACTCTTTTTTTCCTGCGAAGGCTAAAGGGAGAGAGCATCAGCCAAATTCAAATACTTCTCTTTTCTTATGGATAGTATCAGTGCGGGGTCAAAGAAAAGTCAGTCTGTTCATTCAAGAACCATGACAGTGTTTTCCTTTCTTCATTCTCCCCTTTCTCAAGCCTCACCAGGATAACTTTAAACAGAGATAACCAAAATAAGGACATATGAAACATGTAATAAAAAGAAAAACACGGGAGACTTGGAAGGAATAGTAAGGTTGCAATAAGGTTAAATCTATAATGGTAGTAAAGAGGGTAGTAAATTAAATGATATCTTAGCAATCCGTGGCAAGCAAATACATATGAACAGAAAGATGAGATCTCTTAAGGAAGACAGATAAAAAAGCTTTCAAGGGGAAAAAGTAACATCTACTGCAAAGATGGATGAGCTTTCAAACTAATTGGAGGAGTGCGATCTTAGGATAGAGAACTCTAAATTTATAAGCAGCCAGAGAAAGGAAGCACTACATACAGGAAGAGAGGCAAGAATGTGAAATGATATCAAGAAAGCAAAAGAAAAAAGATAATAAAGAAAGCCACTTCAGATGAAATGAGAAGTTTAAGTAGGGAAGAATATGAAAACCAGAACAGGTAGGCTGGAGCTAAGTTTAAAGAAGCTCCTGAATGCTCAACAAAAAAGGTGTTCAATAATTGTGGCAAGTACAATAAAGGATCAGAGTTAAACCAAAGGACTGCCAATGAAGTTAAAAACCTAGTGAAAAGTTTCTAAGAACACCAGTGTTAAAAGAGAAGCAAAGGAAGATACAAGTATTATCATTTACACAGCTTCAGAAATAGATTCTTTATTAAACTGTATAGCTTCAGAAAAAGAAATTGGATAGGGTTCATCATACCTGAGGTTTTGACCTAAGCTAAGCAGAACAAATCCCTACTTCAGTATAAAATAAATTTTCTTTACTTTTGAGAGATATCATCAATATTTTCCACCTTTAATCAAATATAGTATGTAACAATATTAAGTGCATAAAATGTGTTATGCATCAAATACCATTCTAAGCACAACCCTCTGATCAGGTAGGTACCATTATCGTTGCCATTTTACAGATCAGAAAACAGGCGCCAAATAAGAACCTCTCCCCTCTCTCTCTTCCTCCCCCCGCCCAGGTCCCATCTTTCTTTCTATCCTAATCGGTAAAAATGGCAGAATCACGATTCAAAACCAGGAAGTCTGGTTCCAGAATCAGAACTTCTAACTTCTCTATTGCATGGTCTCTCATCACATAATAAATTGCTTATTCACCTTAGCAAATCACAGACAACTTTATATTTTGATATTTTTAGCCTTTCTCCAAATAAGCTAACACTAATTCAGAAGGGTATTATTTATGGTCTCAACTGAACAAATTATTTGACTTCGTAATTTGATTTTTTTTCCTGTTCCCAAAGGCTTCTGTCATATCAAAAGATGTTTGGGAAAAACACACCACTTTGCTGGGTCAAGAGCAATGTACCAGTCTACCACATCCCTTAAAATCCCTAATGGAAAGAATAGTTACCAACTATATAAACAAGCCTATTCTCTGCTAGTTAATGGAACTGTAAGATGGTCATTAAGCATACAGGAATACATAAAAAGTAAATGCCTACCATGTTTTATCTATTTTCTTTTTAACCAATGAGAACCTTGGGTAATTACTATACATGTTTGTCCTATCTGAAAGCCAGTGCTTTTAAAATGCACCTTTCACATGTGGAACTTTACAGAATTCAAAAGCATCTTAGATACAACTGGATCCAAGCCTCTCACCTTAAAGAGTTTATCAATGGTTATACAAGGACTAAAACCAGAAAAATAAAATTTTCTGACTTCCTTATTTAAAATACTTCACAAACATACATATACTGCTTTTAACTTACATCTTGACTTAATGCCATGAAACTCCTCTGTAATTCTTTTGCAAACTCCAAGTTATTTGTGACTTCCTGATACTTAGATACGGCATCCTAAAATAAACACAGAACACAACTTTATTGGAAACACAAACACAAAATTAATTTTCTTGTTAAAAATAGTGAACATAAATACTTAAATAAAATGTAGCATCTTTACCAGCTGATCTTGGTTAAGCCTTTCACCTTTGTTCATTCGCTCCTGGTAATCATCAAGCTTGCCCTATATTAAAAAAAATAAATAAATTTTAATTCCATACTGGAAGTATATACCAGCTTAAAATTAACAAAACCCACATAATCCTCTAAATTTGTCTCAAATTTGCCCTAAATATACTCCAGTATGAGTTAGTACATAAAATAACTTAAATAGTGAGCTAAAAAAATAATTTAAATGCTCCAGCAACTGCTAAATGATACCAAATATTATAAGCCAGTGAATGATACATTGTTTATTCTTTAGGTTTCTTTAAAAAAAAAGGCACGCATCAGATGACTCAGGCACATGGTTCCTCCTCCCCACATGGGTGAGAGCCACCATGTGATTAGGGTCCTGCTTATCCCCAAGTGAGTCTATCAGACATTTTGTAATGAGTTAAAAATGTATGTCACTCCTTCCCCCTCCCATCCCAAAGAGTTCACATGATATAAATATTAAGTGATATAAATATTGTGTTTTCCTGAATAAACCTATGTGCATATTGTCTTTGATGTGCCTCATCCATTTCTCTTGAACGACATGAGATACTTCAGGCTATTCCCTGTGGGGAGTACACTGTCAACAGCATTCCTTTGTTATTTTCTCAAAAATGGAATTAAATGCACAAGTGGGGACAGAAAATTAACTTCTGGTCATCCTTTTTTTGCTAAGATGAAAACCCTGGAGGTGTCCCAGGCTACTACTTTAGATAAGACCCCAGAGAAAACATATTCAGGTAATGCAACACAGGCAAGAATTCAGTTACTATTTTATGAGTCAAAGGAGAGGGACTAAGAAGAAATCTAAATTAAGGGAGGAAATGTTATAAATAATCATAATAAATGATAAAAATATGTAGTTCCTGACCTTTAGTAATAAAATTAACCAAGAGACAAAATACAAAGGAAGATTCTGATAAAATGCATTCAGAGACACAGACACAAGTTTAAAAACAGTGTTAATAAGTTGTTTTATGGCAAATGATTGGAAACATTAGCCAACTTGCATAGCAATTCTACCACAAATTAAAAAGCCTATCACAATTCTTTATACTAGAGATAAAGAAAACCAAGATAATCGTCAAAACATTAAAGGCTGATTAAAGTATACAATTTTACTCTTCTGTGAACTATTTCACACAATTAATAAGCCACCAGCTAAATAGGTATAAAATTCATCTACTGGTTGAAAAATCAGGTTTTTTACAATGATCTGGGCAAGGCCTAGCCCCAAGTACAAAAGATATACATAACTACTTAAGAACACTCTAAAGCAATTTAAATAAAAATTACTTAAGTAAAATTATTTTAACCCTGCCCCTCCTTAATTTAGATTTCTACTTATTCCCTCACCTATGGCCCCTGAACTGTCTTTCTTCATCTACTTTTTTGAAAGGGGAGGCTAATTTTCTTTTAAGAAATAAAAAAAAAAAACAGGTTAAGGTTTGCTTTTAATTACAACTTAGAATGTAACAGTACTACAGTCAGAATTCCTCTATTTTAAAATATATGGATAACAGAAAACATGACAATTAAGAGGAGTACCTGAAATTTAGTGCTAGTACAGTTAAAATTCTGAATACGAGGCAAAAGGAAAACTGCTATTATACCTGGCATTTATTATCTCCCCTTTAATTGTACTGTACATTTTTCATGAAAATTGCTGACAAGTCTAGAAATACACACTAAGTGTACGCTACATCCCACATAAGGTAGAGTTTTATATACCTAGCTTATTTATCATTTAATGTCTTGAGAACTTAAAGCATACACACCAATCAAAATGTATGTCAAATCAAATTCCTAAAAATAAAAGGCTTATATACATATAAAAATATGAAAAGATTTTTTAATGTTAAGAATTATACTTGAATGGTAGAATTATAGGTGGAACTTTCCTCCTTTTCCTTTACTATGTACACTTAAGATATTCTGCAATGGACATATATATAGTTTGTATAATAAAAATGTTAATTTCATGCTACATAAAAGATGTTAACGTGGACACATTTCAGGATAGTGTCAGGACTTTCACCTACAAAAATCCTTAAATATGAATCTATACCAACCTACAGTGGCCAAGCTATTCCGTGACAGAAAAGCTCCAATTACCTACACAATAACGAATTTAGTATTTGTCCAACCGCGAGGTCTATGGCAGATTACATTTCCCAACCTACCATATCTGCTGTCCCAAATACGTTTTTACAGTGTGACTTTGGCACTTCCCCTGTCATTGTATTGAATGGACATCAACCAACAGACTGCAGTAAAAATGATTCTGTATGACTTCGAAGACTGAGTCATGAAAACACTGTATCTCTGCCCTGTTGGCTGGTCACTAAAAACACTATTGTTTTTAGAGACCAAACCCTCATACAAGCAGTTCCATAATCCTGAGGTTGCCATGCTCAAAGGAAGCCAAGCCATGAAGAGAGGTCTTGGATAAGAATTGGTCAGCAGTGCTAGAGTTAAGAGTCATCCCAGCCCAGCATCATGGAGCAAAGACACAAACCCACCGTGTGCCTTGTCTAATACCTGACAGGCAGAATCCATATTCATGATAAAATGATGCAGTCTAAGTTTTGAAGCAATATGTCACACAGCAATAACTGGGAACAAGGTTAAAAAGGCAATGAAAAGGAAAAGCAGTTACGACGTGAAACTCAGCTTCAGTATCAATCTTCACAGAATACCATCAACACAAAGTATGTAAAATGAACTCTATGCCGCCAAAATAAAGATCTATGATTTTATTAAAGTTCATACATTAATTTACTGTGATTTTACATTACTATAACATGTTTCTGCTTTGTCATGATAATTGAAGAGGCATGATTTTTCAATGTAGAAGAACTGCTACAAACACAAGAAATGAGTTTACTATGAAGGGGAAAATGTGTTAAAAAGTCATGATATAACTGAGAATCTCAAGGATCTTTAACAAGGGTCTTCAAAAAGCATATCAGTTCCTTATTCCTGGTAAGTTGAATTGATGCATTCAATCAAAAACTCCAGTTAATCAAATAAATGGAAATTAGGTCCTATGTGAAATATTTTTCTAACCATAATAAAACGAAAGTTTCATCATAGCTTTCTTTATGTGTGTTACTCTGTAGCTGTTACCACTACCCTAACGTTATAAATACCCTATCCCCTGTCCTTCCCCAAGCATCAGGAAAGCACGATCCTGGATCTGGTCAAAGTTCCTAATAAATAACTCTCATTTGAGAAAACAGCAACACTTACTAATATATTCACTACAGAGTGACTTTTTTTTTAAACTATTCTACATTAAAGGGCACTAGTTTGTTTTGTTCTGTTTTTGTCAGTATACTACAGGATCTTCTTGGCTGCTTAGGGGTGCAGGACTTTATCACCATGGAATTCAAACTGAAAGCACCTCTGCTCACTGTTACATATAATTAGATCCCTACAGAGTAGAGACCCTATGCTGACAGAGGTCAATGATTCTCAAAGTGTGATCCCCAAACCAGCAACATAAGCCATCACCTAGGAACTTACATGTAAACCTCCCAGGCAGGAATCAGAAACTGGTGTGGGACCCAGGAATCTGCTCCATCAAGCCCCTGGGTGATTCTGATGGTGCTTAAGTTTGAGAAACATCCAAGTCAAATACATTGTAATTCTCTTGAAACAGTGAGTCCAGTAGAATGTAGAAATAAATTATTCTGAACCAAACATACAACACAAATTGTGACCCTAGGAACCTTTATATATCAGCCTCCATTTGGAAATAGGTTGCCTAACAGCTCAACTTTAAACACCACAGAAAACTTGTTGAGTGGTGGTTTTCTAGACCATGTTATAATCTATTTAACCTCTTAACTGCTTGCATAAGATCCATTTATGATCTGAACACTAAAGGATTACCATCTTCCATTCATAAGTAATACTTCTCTATTAAATCTTGCTTCATGAGCCAAAGTTCCAGAAGTTTAGAGTACATTATGATTAAACTCAAGTGACAAATGCCAAGTTTTGCATAGAAACAGAGAGCCTCTCTACAATCAGTTGGTCTAACTTTCTATTTTTCAAAATAAGGGCAGCATGCAATCCCAGCTCACTCCTAAATAGCTGTAAGAGATAAAGAAAAGGATGTGATATCTGCACTGGTCCCAATACTATAGCTTGCCAAATCTTTGAAAGAGTAGACTACTCAGAGACAAATGACACCATCGTTAACAGACTCATTCCTATTGTCACATCCTACTCAAATGGCTCAAATTAAGTCCAAGTAGAAAATTGTCAATTTGGGGTTAAAATTTACAGTATAAACTGAATCAACATAAACTGTAAATAAGGACTTGTCGCATTGGCTGAACCAACTTATTAACTCCAACAAAAACAGAGGGGCAAAGAGTAAAGTGCTCCAAACAAACACAGCTTTTTCTCTTCCTTAAGCTAGCGCATAGTTACCTGACACATACTAAGTAGTGTTAGGCAAATTGGTCATTCACATAAAATATATATGGCATTTTTTAATGGAGAATGGGGCTGTTTTCCTACCCATAAAAAGATAACTTCATCAGAAAGCCCACCATAATATTGATAACAAAAACCTGCCCTCTTAGATTCTATCTTGAAATTAAGTTTAGGGTTTCTTTTTCAACTACCAAGTGTCCAGAGTGTATTAAAAATTCATTTACAGCATTTTAAGTGAGCAAAATAAAACTCAGGTCATTACCCAGATTACCCAGAGACTCTGAAAGGAAACCATTCAACAGAAGTGTTACTATCCCAAGTAAATGTCAAAACACTACATAGTGGTGTGGTACTAAGAAATAATTAGCCCAGCAAGCGCTGCCCAGTCCCACTCTATCTGGTTTCTTTGCTACTTACAGTAGTTGACACTAGGAGACAGACGCTAAAATTTAAAGCACTGGTGGCTAACCCTATCAGGGTTGCAACATTATCAATCACATTTCACCTAATTGGAAACTGAGAGACAGAGCAATTTAAACAACTTGCCTCAGGTCATAAATCCCAGAAAAGTCATTTGTG